TGAAAAGATGTTATACTTGTAAAGTAACATTTCACACGCGCGTGTCATCCTCTTTAATAACACATTTACTGTCATCACAGAGATGACAGTAAGTAAAGCTCTGACATGTGTCTGCTTAAAGCTGCCATCTGTAATTAGTGTCAGGCCCAGCCCTGGTGTATTCTCAGCCTCACATATCCTCACTGCAACTGCATTTGTGATCACGCAGTCCCAGCATGCACCTCCAAACCCCAAAGTGGCAGTGGTCATGCTGAGAATTCAGAACAACATCAGTGGTAAAGACTCACACATCTCCAAGGACCTTTTTTTGTGATATAAGAAGGTGAAAACTAAAGCAGATGTCCAGATATGCCAGAGTTAAGGCAAAATCTACAAGATCTCTTTTCTTTAAAATTACACCTGTGACAGGGAAGGGTCACTCATGTTTAATTTGATTAGTTTTAAATGAAACAATTTTGTACAATTTCACTGAAAGACAAAACAGCTCCAAAAGTGGACTCGGTGCTATTCATTATTGCTAATCCACCACTGCCAGCGTGCGTCCCTGTCACCCTGTCAGATTTAGGATGCAGGAGCTCTAGATCCTCATTTGCACATAATTAGCTTTACCAAGGGACATCTGTAAAACTGAAATTACCCCACAATCTGTGTGTGTGTGTGTGTGTGTGTACATTCACATAGGAATCTGGAAATGTTGGACTGATAAACACTGAAACAAGAACAAGAAACAAGAACCTTCAAGTTTGTCCTGAGTTGCCACAACAACAGGATTGTACTTCCAGGTCACATCTTTACCACAGTTTGTTTTATGTTTTTTACTTTTAATTGTCTTCATCTACCGATGTCATCAACATGGAAAACCTCCATCCATCCAAAATGCAGAAACTATTCACATGTAAGGAACACTGACAGTCTAGGCGCCACACACTGCAGGAGGATTTGCTTGTACTTGGCCAGCTGTATCCCGCTGCAGTCTTTGCGATCAAAGACTTAAAATCTCATAAGATTCCCCTTGTGTCTGTGGTGTGCGCTTTTTGTTGCACATTTAAAAAATGTTTAAGACAGAAAAATCCTGTAGTGTGTGGCACTCTTTACAGTTCTGACAGTTTAAACCTTCATTCGACCTTCAAGTAAATATTATTTAATTTTCATTAGTCAAATCATGACTATTGTGTAATTTAGGATTTCAGCTTTCAACTTTATTATTGTCCCAAAGGGAAACTGATGTGCAGCACTGTCAGATTTACAGAAGACATGTCTCCTCCTTCACATTTAGGCAAAACATGAAGGTTTATAAAACGTCTTGAATGTGTAGCCGTTTGACTGTGAAATAATCAAACCTGTGCAGTGTGGAGTAGTTTGTCCCTCTTGTGACCCCAGCTCTTTGACACAAAACAATTAGCCTTTAATCTGGTGTGTTTACATGTTGTATGATAATAAATAACCATACAATACAGTGCAACAGTACACTTAATCAGAGTTTATCCTGATAATGGGTTCAGAGATAAAAGATGACCTGATCTGGGGCTTTCTAAGGCGCCGCCCTGGAGGGAGGAGGTTAGACTGCTAAAGAGCAGTGCTTTGGCTCAGGGCTCTCCTTTATTTTTTTAGCTTTACAAGTCACCCTTCTGTTAGATGTCATGCAGCTAGGACTCCTGTAAGCCTATAATAAGAGGCGTAGATCGTATTAATGCCCTTGTTTACATTATGGTTGCTAGGTATGGTTGCTTGAATTACCAATTTCCTCCATCCTCTGCCAGTAACTAACCAGGAAGTAAAATAAAATTGACCAGAATTATGTTTTTTTTAATTGACAAAAAGTAGTTTGTAAAATTATAAAATATTTTATAATTAAAATTATAAAATAATGTATTATAATTAAATGATAATAATTTTTAGATCTAATGATATTAAATATGTTTTAATGAAATTAGAAGTCTAACCTGTCACATGCAGTCAAACCAAGGACACAAAGCAGTATTACATTGATAATGGGTTTTAATACTTTACAAATAATGAATTCATAGTATAAATAACATTCAGACAATAATAATTCAGAACAATGAGTTAAAGACAGACTACAACTTTTCTTTTGGGGGTCCTCCATGTGCTTTTCTCCAATGTGATGATCTTATTGCTTTGTCTTTAATGTTCCACAGTGTGGCATTACATTTACCTGTCTACATGAAAACCACTGTGAACTGGTTTGAGTCTCCACATAGACAAGTTTAATGCCATACTGTGAAACATGACAGACAAAGCAAAACCATCTCCAGGGACAAGCAGATGGCAGATGCAACAGCAGACATGTTCTACAGTGCAGCTGGAGGTAGAGCTCGCCCGGTACTTCAAGAACACATAAAACGTGAAACTAAGAATCGGTTATACATATCACAGACCTTTAAGAGAAAAGAATCACAGTGAAGAAAACAATGTCATTTAAAACAAAAGAAAAAAACAAAATGGAATGGATAACTACTTAAAGCCATAGTATGTAACTTTCTTAATGTGGCATATCATACCTGCATGAGTCCATGGAAACAGGCAGTTAAAACTGTACTTTTCCTTAGAGATAGACACGCTTTATGCCATACTGTGGAATATTGTAGAGAAAGGAACAACATTTCCATGGAAACAAGCAAGAGGAGCCTGCCAAATAAGAGTCAGGTTTGTGGAGATGCAAGCCCATTCACAGTAAGAATGCATATTTTTATGTTTTTCAGAGATGTATGTTTTTCAGAATACCTGTTATTTTTCATAGTATGACATTAAACTTCTTCATGGAAATAAGCGTTGGCACAACCTCCCACCAGAAAAGTTACATAGTTCGCCTTTAAATAATCCAATATGTATCTATAATTAACATTAGTTATTAATATCTAATAACAAATCATAATGGAGCTGACCAGTTATCGTCCATAGTACATTTTCCATTCATTTTTCCCACAGACTTTTAGAACATTTCAAATATGAAGAGTTCATATTGTGGAGGCTAATCAGCTTCACGCTAATAGCATAACACAGTCCACATTTAAAACAAAAGATTCAGCAAATGCGTTTAACTTTGTGGTTTATAAAGTTTCAAAACACATTATAAGTAAAATTATAGGTTGACATCACAAGTAGCCTTTGGCTCCAGTCAAATGAAGCTCATTAAGGCTGGCAGATATATAAGCAAATTTGGATTTCCATTCTAATAACTGGAATTTATTTATGGACAAAATGGCAAAATATAAACACCAGGTTCATATAGCATGGGTTAATACAAATATTTTAACTCTAAAATGACAAGGCTCATTGCAGTAGTCACAGAGAGAGGGGAGGCAATTTTTCATTGTAAAGTTGATGGCTCAATGTGCATATGGCAGGTTTTCATGTTTTTCTGTCTTGGTTTGGTCGAATAGAACAATATAAATATTTATCAGTTAAAGGTGCATTGTGTAACTTTTCTGGTGAAGGGCCCTTTAAATGCTTTTCTCCATGGAGATGTTATTCTTTTGTCTGGAATATTCCACAGTATGGTATTAAACCTTTCTATCTTCATGGACACCTAACCAGAATAAGTTACATATCAGATCAATGGAAAGGTGGCCCTGCTCACAGTCAGAATACCTGTTTTTCTTGGTATTTTTGAGCTGTAAAAGCACTTGTGATTTAATAAATGTAAGGTAGAGCTGTTTAATGTCATACTCTGGAACATTCCAGGCAGAGTAATGAGATATCCGTAGAAATAAACAGGTGACAGAACCCAACGAAAAGTTACATAATGTACATTTAAGTGTCAGTTAAACAAACAAAAAGTACAAGTGAGTTCTAAAACGAAATACCTTTACCTATTTCTTAATGTAAAAAAGTCCACATATGCATTCATTTTTAAATGATTTGAATTATCCATGTACAATGATTAGTATGAGACTAAAGCAAATTAAAAGCAAGTGACTAAAATAGGGATTTGTTTTGGCACAGCTGCCGGACGCTGAAGGAGTACTGGTAGAAGTACTAGTAGAAGTAGGTGGTGCAGTAGTTGTAGTAGTAGGTGGAGTAGTAGTAGTAGTTGTAGTAGTAGGTGGAGTAGTAGTAGTAGTAGTAGTAGTGGTGGAGTAGTAGTAGTAGTAGTAGTAGTAGTAGTAGTAGTAGTAGTAGTAGGTGGTAGTAGTAGTAGTAGTAGTAGTAGTAGTAGGTGGTGGAGTAGTAGTAGTAGTAGTAGTAGGTGGTGGAGTAGTAGTAGTAGTAGTAGTAGTAGTAGTAGTAGTAGTAGTGTAGTAGTAGTAGTAGTAGTAGTAGTAGTAGTAGTAGTAGTAGTAGTAGTAGTAGTAGTAGTAGTAGTAGTAGTAGTAGTAGTAGTAGTAGTAGTAGTAGTAGTAGTAGTAGTAGGTGGAGTAGTAGTAGTAGTAGTAGTAGTAGTAGTAGTAGTAGTAGTAGTAGTAGTAGTAGTAGTAGGTGGAGTAGTAGTAGTAGTAGTAGTAGTAGTAGTAGTAGTAGTAGTAGTAGTAGTAGTAGTAGTAGTAGTAGTAGTAGTAGTAGTAGTAGTAGTAGTAGTAGTAGTAGTAGTAGTAGTGGTAGTAGTAGTAGTAGTAGTAGTAGTAGTAGTGGAGTAGTAGTAGTAGTAGTAGTAGGTGGTGCAGTAGTTGTAGTAGTAGGTGGTGCAGTAGTTGTAGTAGTAGGTGGTTGAGTAGTAGTAGTGGGTGGAGTAGTAGTAGTAGTAGTAGTAGTGGGTGGTGGAGTAGTAGTAGTAGTAGTAGTAGTAGTAGGTGGTGGAGTAGTAGTAGTAGTAGTAGTAGTAGTAGTAGTAGTAGTAGTAGTAGTAGTAGTAGTAGTAGTGGGTGGAGTAGTAGTAGTAGTAGTAGTGGGTGGTGGTAGTAGTAGTAGTAGTAGTGGGTGGAGTAGTAGTAGTAGTAGTAGTAGTAGTAGTGGGTGGTGGAGTAGTAGTAGTAGTAGTGGGTGGAGTAGTAGTAGTAGTAGTAGTAGTAGTAGTAGTGCGTGGTGGAGTAGTAGTAGTATCAACCCCACAGTTTAAGCCCAGGTCCCCAGGCGAGCTGAAGGACACAAACCCAGGCAGGCTCTTTGAGTCCGGGCTCACGATGACCTGGATCCAGTCCTGGAAGAACAGGACCTCGGTGTAGATCCCGGCGTTGTTTGGTCGGGCACATCCGACACCCAAACTCACGATCCCGATCTGGACCCAAACACCACCCTGCTTCACCACCATGGGGCCACCCGAGTCGCCCTGTGAGCAGAGAGAGGGACCTGTGTTACCTCTGGACTTTGGTACGTTTAGAAGGTAAATACATGCTTTTGTTTATATTTATGTAAAGCTGCATTGCGCAACCTTTCTGGTGGAGGGCCGGCTGCCTACTTGTCTCCATGGAGATGTTATTGCTTTGTCTGGGATGTTCCATGGTATGACATTAAACACATCCATCTAGCATTTATTCATTAAAGTTGCTCAAAAATACAATAATTCATTGTGAACAGGGGCGACTCTCCACAGATCTGAACTGTAATGTAGTCTAGTCTGTTGATGCTAACAATTCGTTAGAGCACTCACTTGGCAGGCGCTCCGGCCTCCTGCTGCGAAACCGGCGCAGATGATCTCCGGCTGTAAATCATTCCCATTCTGCTGCTTGCACAAAGCGTCGGACACCACCGGGACACACACCTCCTGAAGCGTCTCTGAAACATTCCCCCCTGTGGCAAAGGAAGGAACTCATTTGTCTGTGGAATCAGAATTTTACCCTTTACACAAAAACTGGCTGCATTATTAAACACACGGGGTCATTGAAATCCATAAGATTAGTAATGTATGTTGCTGACCCACATACAAATGGGGTATTAGTCGTCTAGAGAATATTATTTGCTAACTATTAGCAGCTAACACATACCATATTTAGATTAGCAGGTTAGCATCCAATTGAAAATCAATTTGAAAAAGCTATATTCACCCTAAACAAATGACTAACATTAGTTTCTCTGAAGTTGTGAGTCCCCCTCTCTTTGTTTTGTCACCTCCCCTTCAGAGCGCTATCACAACATAATCAGCATGCTTCCTGCCAATTATTACTACTCATTGTATCAGGTTTGTGAAGTTGTAGTGTATTGTTTTGTGTCATACTTTTGTATTGGTGGATTTCAGATTCTAGAATGTGGTGATGTCATACTGTCAGATGGGGGCAAGAGCCAATTTTTCCTATTGATTACATTGTACTTTCGGAAAGGTAAATTCCCAAATACGGAACCTGGTCATTTCTATTACTGAGTCGACCCAAGACCATGCTGTATTACAACACAAATCTGCAGTTGAACAATATTAATTTTAGCTGCCCCCATCTATATTAAATAATATTGGCGTATAAAATGGTGTGATGTCATCAGAAACCCAGCAATATTTTTGGAAAATGGCCATGCAGGATCAGAATTCGATCATGTTATGAACTGCAATGTCACATGAAGACTTCTTGTTCCCTCACCTTCCTGCTGTAGCCCCCAGCCTGTCACCCATGAGCTCTGCCTTTGTTCGACAGTGGAGTCCTTCTGGGCGAGGCACACCGGTTGGATGTAGTCGGAGTAGGACACGGGGGTGTCCAACTTGAGGAGAGCGATGTCGTTATTAAAATTTCCGAGAGTGTTGTAGTCGGGGTGGATCTCTTCCTGCACCACCATCTTCTTCACCTCGTTGGGATTGGGACCAGACAGTAGCTGACGTCCCAGATACATTTCTGTCAGGTTTGCTACCCTGAAAAACAAAAGGGGAAAACATTTACTTTCAGTCTTAGTCTTTAACGTTACTGTCTGCAACCCAACCCTGGGGGCATGATGCTAACTGTAGGCTCTGCTCTGTCTGAGACTTTATTAGACTTTAATCTGTGCATTGTTTTAACACAGTCTGACCAGAAAGAACTGACTTGTCTCTCACACATAAAATCACAGTCACAAACTAGCTAGCATGAGCCAACATTTGTTCAGTTTTGTTGAAAATCACACTCCTAAACAGGACTGTGAAAGCCTGTATTTAAGATTGTCAGAAAAATTACGAAAAAACACCAAATGGATTTAAACAACACATTTTCAGGAGCCTGTAATTAAAACAGGACTGTGAAAGCCTGTATTAATTACAGGCTCCTGAAAATGTGTTGTTTAAATCCATTTGGTGTTTTTTCGTAATTTTTCTGACAATCTTAAAACTTTTTTCAGTGTTTGCTAAAGTGTGCATTGGGTTATCATGGTAACTCCTAAACATTCCACAATTATGATACATGTAGAACACCCCCAGCATGATGTCACTGCACAGTTTAAATAGGAAAAGGTCCTTACATATCCGTAAGACAGTGTGCGGCAGTCAGCACCCACTCACTGTTGATCAGGGACCCTCCACAGGCGAAGCTCGACCCTGAGGAGTTGGTTGTGATGATATAAACCTGCCAGGGCCAGTTTCCTGGAGGAGCATCTTTCCCGCCCACAATCCTTGGGTTCAGCGCGGCTTTGCCACAAGCTAAACAGAAGATACAGCAATACAATAGAGAAAATGTGGTTTAACACTACAGTCAAAAGACACACACAACGTGTAATTATAATACAATAAAATATAAACAGATTCTCGGCACAAAGGGACAGGTATTTGATTGCTTTTATTGTGTTCTTATGTAATTCAAAGGGCCCATATCAGGCTATTTTGTGAATGTTGTTTCCTTCTGGCAAACACCTGGAGTTATGTTTTGTTTCATTCACAAATGTACTGAACTAAAGGTTAAAAAGGTAAAAGGTTTGGCAGACTAATAATAAAGGGTTATTCAAGCAAAACAAAACACAACTCGAGATATGTTTCTGAGAAGGTAACGGCATTATAACCTGGCTTAAAGCTCACAAGAGTCAATGTTGTGTAATATAACACCATTAAAGGAACTATATGTACCTGCAATCCTATGATTTTCAAAAAGGTTCTACAGTCACAACCGAACTTGTGTCACTAGAGCTTTAACCTGCAGCTAGAGGACACATCCAACTTTGTCTCATTCTCAGTATATTTCCCAGGCCTCATGTGAAAGCTCAGAACATCCAGAATTCCCTCTCTGAGCTACAGAAGCTGCGCTATTACTGATTCATGATTGGCTGTATGTGGTGGGGTTAAGTAGTGACTATTCAGATCAGAGAGTGTCATTTTAGGTTTAAACACATTAGATTTCAGCATTGAACCTGGCAACCCAAATGAGAGACTCATGTGAGGCCCATTCTGCTTTCTGATTGGATAATTGTCTTCAATTAAAACACCAAATTATACTAGTAAATACAAATAGACCATCATGTCCAATGTTTTTGTAATTAAGAATAAATCAGCATAAGAATTGATATCAGTAAAAGCTTTATTTGATTTGAACATGTTTATCTCACAGAAATCTAAATCTTACCTGCAGTTCCTTTCAATTAAAAGCAGAGTAAGTACAAATACATAATATTGTAGAGTGTGCACTAGCTCATGGATAATAACACTAAAATCAATAATACTAAAATCATGTAAATAATGACAATTAATTAATTATTAAAAACATGTGATAGTTTCTTACCTTGTGCTTCAGAACCTGATAAAAAAATAAAAAGTAAAAAAACAAAATTATGAGTCAGTATTTAATGTTGAAATAGCCACAACATATTACACCGTTTACTTTAAGGGAAGACACTACAGGCAAACTCATTTTCTTTTTTTTGTTTGTTTTTTGGTCAGTTTTGGTCAACATTTGAGTGGATTCAATGAAATGGTCCATTTGGCACTGAAATATATATGAAGTGCACTACGTAACTTTTTGGTTGGGGATCCGTCACCTTGTTTCTATAGATATGTCATTGATCTGCCTGGAATGTTCCACACTATGGCTTTAAACATCTCTTCTTTATATTTATTTAGTCAGTAACAGGTGGTTTTACAGCTCAAAAATAAAAACAGGCATTCTGACTGTGAGCGGCGTAACCTCTCCACAGATCTAACCTGTTACTTGGTCTGGTTTGGTCTCCATGAAGACAGAAAAATGTAATGCTGTATTGTGAAACATTCCAGATGAAGCAATAACATGTCCGTGGAAAAACATGTGACAAACCCTCCACCAGAACAGTGACACAATGCACCTTCAAAGTGCCTATGGCAGGTTAAACTACTCATTAGATTAAAACACAGTTAAGATTTTAGTAAAGATTTTATTAAAAGTTTTGCAAGATTTCAAATTTTACTTCCTGTTGGAAATGAATGAATCAGACTAGGTAATTCCCCAAGTGTTATCTAGCAACCACGTTTTACACCGGGCCAAAACGCCTTAATATTTGACAAATAATTTGACAAGAAAACACCTTTATTTTGTTGAAATCATGTTTATAGTATCAGAAAAAATGTTTTAATTGTATAATGTGTGTAAATTGTGCCAAACGTTTTGATCATGTCTCCTAGTTTGATGCCGTCAATATAGAACTCTTATAATCTCTATTTAGTGCCATTTTCAACAGATTTTTCAGCTTTTCTAAACAAAATTTTTCTTGATTGATATAAAACTTATCACTTACTTACTTTACAATAGGTATTATAGCACCAAAATAATAAGTCAAAATTAGAAAATAATTGAAACTTGTCATGCGTACCTTAATGTATTATCTACATTAGGGTGACCTGGTGTTCTTATTTACCCAGGATCGTCACAGTTTGGAGATCTGTGTCCTCTGTCCCAGCAGAGTTATACAAAACCAGTGATTTGTCTCAGTTTTATACGAAAAATGTTTCTTGTGTCCCTATTTTTGACCAATTTGATCCCTGTCAACAGTTAAAAGGGGAATATACTGCAATTTGTTTAGCTAAAATACAGAAAAACTTGTTTGAAAATAAAGAAGTCCCTCAGATTAGACAGCCTTCTGACCCACAAGTGAGTCCAGAGTGGAAAATGTCATGCGCTTTAAAAAATTTTTTTTTAAATCTAATTTTATTTATATAACCCATCCCGACCTGCTGTGCCCCAGTTTTGAATTTTAACCATCTGGTCACCGTAACGTACACACACCAAACTCCACAGTCTTGTACGTAACAAGATTTTAATTAAATGTACAGGAGATTTTTTTTAAAATATCTAATTCCAAGTCTGATTTATTCATTATGGTATTCATTATTTATTCATTATTCAAAAAAATAAATAAATACAAAGGTGCAAGAAATTTAAACCTGACTCTTTCCATGTTTCTGTTTTCAATGTCCCAAAAATGGTCAGTTTTGGCAATTTTTATACATAAATAATATTTTTAATTATGTAATGTTTTTATATAAAAATAAGGAGGATTTTTTTTATATAAACATTAAATTTTTTTTCATTTATGTGACTAAACTACATCAGACATTGATATTTCTACATTAAATTCAACTTCAAATCTTTTTCCTATTCACTGCAGTGTGTCACCATAATCGTATTCACAATAATAATAATAATAATAATAATAATAATAATAATAATAATGTAAGATTATAAGAATATATATAAAAATAAACCGAACAAGGATAAATTCAAATAAACTCGCCTGTGATTAAAGTGAAGAGGAGTAACGTGAGATGCAGCATTCTGTCCATTTTGAGCCTTGTGTTGTGATAATTCTGTGGAGCGAGCCTCTTACGCGGTGATTAGCTCCACCCAGACCTAACCCTCCTTTTAATTGCCATTATTATTGTTTACAGGTTTAGCAACTTCTGCTCGTATGTTTACTCCCCCTGACATACTTAAGTGCAGAAGTAGGTCTGTGTGATTAAGAGATCACAATTGGGATGTGACATAATTAGAAATTGACATAATTAAACCTTGTACAATAAACCCTATAATTTTGATTTATACTCCATTTGTTACTTAAAGCTGCATCGTGTAACTTTCCAGTAGTGCACATTTGAACTGATAGTTTATTTCTTAGCTGTTTTTCTTTGTATATTTTTGTTTTTGTACAGATGTGTTTGAAATAAACCTCTCAGTCTCTTAAGCAAGTCTCAAACTATAATAAAAATACTTTTACTTTTTCAGTTTAAAAATGGAGTGGAGTAAAAAGTACAAACACCTGCACTCGCATGTAGTGAAGTAAGTAGAAATATCCATATTATATACACTACATTACAGGTCAGATCTGTGAAGAAGCAACTCACAGAGAGAATCATTGTATTTTTGAGCAAACACCAATAACACCCATAATGAATAAATGCTAGATAGACGTGTTTAATGTCACACCATGGAACATTCTAGACAAAGCAATAACATCTCCATGAAGAAAAGCAGGTGACTGACCCTCCACCAGAAAAGCTGCACAATGTCCCTTTAAGTGAAATACAGATACCTAAAATTTGTACTTGTTTACTACTAGTTTACTACTAGTTTTACTTTGTTACATTCCACCACTGTACAAATCTGAAATGTGATTCTTGTATTATTTTGTTTGTTTATATTTCAGTCTTTTTGTCAATTCTTCTGGAGGTATTTAAAACGTGACCTTTGAACACAATTATTAAAACATAAATGTATATATGTATCATAAATGAATAAACTGGCAGCTGTAGTGTTAGTCCACTGATCCGAAGGTTGCGCATTCCAGCTCCCTTAGACGAATGCTGCTGTTGTGTCCTTGGGCAAGACACTTAACCCACCTGCGTACACTGGTGTATGGGTGAATGGTTCCTTGTTGAGTGCCTTGAATGTGGAAAAGCTCTGTATAAAAATGTGACCATTTACTTTAAATGTAATCACAATCACAGTGTCACAAATCAAAAGTAATCGCCAATCCATGGCCTGCACTGTGATAAGCAACATCTACGTAAGTTAAAATGACTTAAACTGAGAACATTTGACTTTATTTGAGTAGATTCAGCTTCAGTCAAATGATCCACCAACGGAATGAGTGTGTTTTAATTTATTCCAACATTAGAACACATCTAAAAAGAACTGCGTTACTAAAATAGATTGTTATAGAATATTGTAGGGGATTTTTAAACCTGTTCTTGTAATTGAGTGTAATTCTAAGCTTGTAATTGTACTCATTATATTTAAATAGTATAGAAGGTTCTGATTGTTGTCGTTTGTGGTTTAAAACAGTTGCATTCATTTAATTTTTGTTTCATCTGAGCACAAGTATTCATGTACAAAACAAGCCAATAACACAGAATAAAAGGAGGTACTAGTAGAAGTAGTAGTAGTAGAAGTAGTAATAGTCAAAGGTATAGAAAATTAAATACTCATCAATACTAAAACTATTATTAAAGCTAGATACTCATTTGAGCAGGTATCAGTTCTAAAAAAAAAAGTCACTGTAGCGATAGCAGAAATAGTTGCAGTTTTGTAGCAGCAGTAGTAGTAGTAGTAGTAGTAACTGATGTTTTAGCAGTTAAGGGTATCATAGTAGGTGTAATGATCTAATACAGTAATAATGGTACTTCATTATCAAAGTAATAGTAGAAGTAGTTGGCAGTGAAGTGGTAAGTGGAGAATTTAGTAGTAATTGTTGTTGCTTTTAGTAGTACCCTCTAATACAGTAATAGTGGTACTACATTATCTAAGTAATAGTAGAAGTAGTTGGCAGTGACTGACATGGTAAGTGGAGAATTAGTAGTAGTAGTAGTAGTAGTAAAGGTAGTAGTAGTCGTGACCCTCTAGTACAGTAATAGTGGTACTTCATTATCCGGACTGGGATCTTTGGTGTAATTTGCGTAGTAAATAGCGGCAATAAGATAAGTGTTGAGAGATGTCACTTTGTTGTTGGTAGGACCATGCCTGCCTGAAACATTCCAGTAGTTGGTTGAAATCGGGTATAGTAGTAGTAGGAATAGTAGTAGTAGGAGGAGCAGTAGTAGTGGTAATCATAGTAGTAGTATTCCTGCAGTAGTAGCTGGGGTCGTTTCTGTCTCCAGTTGACGTAAATAACACAAACACCGGAGGGTCCTCTGCTCCCACCACGATCTGAATCCAGTCTTGGAACTTTGAAATATCCGTCAGAATTCCGGGTTTTTCTGGTCGGGCACATCCCTCCGAGGCGCTCACGATTCCAGCCTGCACCCAAACACTGTCCTGCTTCACCAGCATGGGGCCCCCAGAGTCACCCTGTGAGGAGAGATAGAGAGACAGGGGGCGCTGTTCAGGGTAAAAGTCCAGTCAAAGTTGTAATGGAGATTGGAACTGAAGGTGCTATATTACACAACACTGACTCTTATGAGCACTACTAAACCATATTATAATGCTATTACCTCATCAAAAACAGACCTGGAGTTGAGTTTTGTTTCATTCACACATGTTTGAGTGATCCTGCATTGTTAGTCTGTCTGTATCTCCAAAGGTCAAAATGCTTTTGCTCCACCTTGTGAAGTTAAAAATGACCTTTTAGCTTATTTCAGTGGAGATTATCAGTGCAGACTACATGACAAAATACCTTTACTGATTATTGATTGATTTATTTATTGTATTAAGCACTTTTAAATCTTGATTCTTCTTTTCTGACCGTAATGATTCACACTAAGGTCTTGTCAAGAGATTTAAAAAGGAAAGAGTTTCATTTCTATGACTCTCGCATATAAATATACCAGGACATTTTGTTATGTACAATTTAGTTTAAAAATCATATAAATTGCAAAAATCTAAACTATATTAGGTATTCCGGTTTAAAGTCTTTGTATCCCATGTCAATTAGTGCCACTTCAGCCACACTTCCTCTCTCCTCCCATGCTACTCTCACTCTGGCTGAATCATTTCGGATGGAAACTGATTAAAAACGCTACTCTGACCTAACCTGATTCAATAGCCAGTTTCACTTTGTGGAAACCGTCTGACCTTGCAGCATTAGAATTTGTTCCCTCTATGGTAGGCAGGTACTTTTTTAATTTAACCAATCATTGCTATTTGGCCGTGACATCTGTAATGCGCCTCTAATGGGGCTAACTCGAATATTAAGCTTTTCCCAAATCCTGTAGGAAGAAGGGCAATATCGTCTTTCCCCTTGATAAAATTCTTCAAACATTCTCTTTGTTCCAGCTTTAAATCATTGATCTCAAGAATCTTTGCCAACACAGAATGTATGGCTCTTCGCTGATTGGCTGGTGCCTGGATTTGCACTTCAGATTTGTATTCCGATTCCTGACCTAGTCGCTAGAGAGAAATAAAACTGAGCGGATGCACTAGGTGGTGTCAGCCTGGCTAACTCTGACGAAGACTACCAGACGGATTTATTCACCCTCAACGCTTTTCTTTAGTTGCTCAACTATTTAAAAGTTATTTGAGACTCTGATGAACCTGTAATCCCCCCATGCAAAATGTTGCTTTTGAGTTTAATCCTCACTCTACTTTTGTGTTTGCCTCACCCAAACTTTTTGCCAAAGCCTCTTATATTGATATAATGCATGGGTGTCTTTGAACATTTAAGGCACTTTTTGTTACTTTTTAAGCACAAAGCCCAAGTGGCTAAGGTGTTTTGAATTAATCCGATCCCTATCTGTTATGCAACAAAAATACTTGAATATTTATTAGTAATTGTCCATTTTGATAAACTGTAGCTACATTATTGATATTGACTTACATATTTAAAGGTGCACTATGTTTTTTGAATAGTAGCTTTATTTAAGCTTATTAGAAATATTATTGATGAAATCGAATTATCACTATGATGACCAAATGTTTATTGCTTAGTGTATATATTACTAGGTTATTGTATATATTGGTGAAGGTGAGTTTAAAAATACAATGCATAAGAGTTTGTGAACATTTGTCATTTTCTGATTTGGACATTTTTTAGGTTTCAAATGTTGCTTCCTGGTTGGAAATCAATCAATCAAACTAGGGAATTCCAAACTGTTATCTAGCAAATATAGTGTAAACTGGGCCAAAACACAGAAATTATTATTGGACAAACTATTATTGGACAAATTATTATTGGAAATTATTATTGGACAAATGAAAATGTTATTGGACAAATGAAAATGTTCAGAAAACACCTTTATTTTATTGTTTATTGTTACTTGTGTAAAAAAAATATATATATATATAAAAAATTGCTTTGATCGAATCCAAGGGACAGCTGGATTGTGTTTGTTTTTGCAGTAACCATGGAGATTGTGCAAGAGCTAATGGCGTAACTATGTAGCTATTTACAGACCTTTGAGATGCTACTGGCTTTTTGCACCATATGTGACCTTCCAGAGAAAAGAGTCTGAGATCTTCCTGTTTGTGATGCTGCAGGACACAGAGGAGAGACATTTTTGGCTCTTCCTCTCCTCAAACTGCCCTGACACAGGATCTGCTGACCCTCCCTGACCCATCCTCCTGTGAAACTGCACTGAGACCTTTCACTGAGACACAAAGGGACTGAGACGCACAGTGTAAATGTTGCAGAAAAACATGAATTTTCCTCAGGATCAATAAAGTATCTGTCTCTCTCTCTAAAATGTGCCCAACTGTAGGACAAAATTCTCCCAGTGTGATCAATCAATCAACCCATCAATATAGAACTCTCCATTTCCTGTCATTTTAAATACATTTTTCATTATTTTTCTCAAACTGATTCTTAATTTGTGTAAAACTATAATTTATATTTACACCAGGTATTATCCCACCAACTTGATTCAAATTGAGAGAATCATCAAAACCGTCATATGCACTTTAAATTAAAAAGTTGGAGGGGACTGACCATACAGATGCCTTTCCCTCCCTCTTCATATCCAGCACACAGGAAGGTGTTTTCCAGGACCTGAAGGATCTCATAATTTGTGCTACAGACGTCCCACTCCACCACAGGCACACACAGCTCCTGGAGAGTCTCGGAAAGACTTCCACCTGTGACCAAACAGCAGATTTCCTTTTTATACCAGAGAAATGGTCAAAAACGATATGATTTTAACAGCACCAGATCACAATTTGGATTTAAATGTGCATTTTGTAACTTTTTGGTTGGCTCACCTGCTTGTTTGTATCGATATGTCATTGCTCTGCCTGGAATGTTCCGCAATATGACATTAAACAGCTCTAGCTTACATTTATTAAATGATAGGAGATTTTACAGCTCAAAAAAATATATCTCTATGATGATAGAAAATTTAATACCACATTATGAAACATTCCAGACCAAATAATAACATCTCGAAGGAAAAGTAAATAAAGACATCTGCTTCTTTGGAAAGTTCATTGTTGATTGGTTAAATCCAGCTGTCACTCACTCAGAGCCTTTCAGAAGCTGACCAATAGAAGAAGTGGGTGGAAGACTGCTATATTAAACACTGCGCAGACTGCTGTATTAAAGGGCCCATGATACACTTTTTCCAATCTTTTTTGTAATTCCATCTCCACCTTGTGATGTCATGGTAATACAGCAAGTGCTCCACTGTCTTTTTAAACTTGATACCCCTTCACTAAAATCATCTGGATAATTTGAGTCCAGGAATTGCTAATCTCCACTGAGCAAAAGGTAAAAGGTAGTGGTTAACTTGAAAACTACCATTACAGGACACATCATAAGGTGGAGCAGAGCATTTTGAACTGTGGAGGTGTAACCAGACTTGACCATCTTTTCGACTGGCATGGGTTGCTTAGGACTGTCTTGGCATGGGCCAATTAGGACAGGGCCATCTCCACCCAAGGGTGTTTCCATGGCAACGGGCCCAGGCTGCTTTGGGCATGACACAGGTCTGTAAGATGCACACAAAGGCGTGACATAGACCAGTGGTGGTGCTAAAGAGGCATCAGCACATCTCATCCATGTTCAGATATAACTCAAATCAAATGTACATGCAAATGAAGATCATTCAATCAGATTTGTTTTTTTTCAGTGACGCATTTGAAAGGAAGGAGCGCAGTGGTCACTCATCATTTCAAATAAAATCACATTTCTCTCACCTCGGATTAACAGAGTTTAGTGCTTCATGCATTGATTCTGTAGAAATCTGCCATGTTTTTCAGTCTCCTGTGATATTTTTCATCTTTTATTTTCAATCACTCCCAGACTCACATCTTCATAAAGTATTGAAGAAGTGTGTATTCTGGCAAACAGAGGCAAGTTTGCATTAAAATGACCAAAAATAGCACTAGGAACAGCAGCCAATAGTATTAAAACACCATATACACAGTTCAGTAGCAAAATAAAAGTTGGTTTTGTGTTTAGTTTCACTTTAAATAGCCTAGAGAGCCTCACCTCCCTCCTCCGGGAGCCCCCACCCGATCACCCAGGCGCTCTGTCCATGGTCGAAGTAGCTGTTGGTCTGAGCCAGGGGCACAGGACGGATGAAGCTTGTGTAATTGACCGGAGAGGACAGCCTCAAGAGGGCGATGTCGCTCCCTGCACCGCTGTAGTCTGGATGCAGCTCCACCTGGACCACGCTCCTCTGCACAGGTGTCTCACTCAGAGAAGTGATGCCCAGAAAGACGGCAGTCAGATCCATCACTCTGGAACACAACAAAGGGTTTAAAGGTGCTGTACCTGAGTTTAACTGTTCTGTGGGCCCTCAGACATTTTCTTAATTAATTATTTTTTTCCATCCTATAAAAGAGAACTGTGAAGCTCATGGACATATAAAACATAAAGGGAAAGCTGTAACCCACTTATTTTGATCTGAACCAGTTTGTACTCCAAACCTGCAAAACATGTTCCCACTTATAATGAGAGCACATCAGACAGATGACAACACTACAGAGCTTCAACTTCACAAAGAGTTCAGCCATTTGCCTGTGCTCCAAAGTGACAACTTTAGGTTAGATTTAAATGTATATATTCTGTACCTTACGCAAACCCGTCATGGGCACACCTCTAATATAAATTAATATAAAGAGAGTCCAATCATGGGCACTATTTTATTTTATTATTATTTTTTTCCTTTTTCACAGTGGCGAGCTGAACTGTTGTTGTTGTTGTATCACAGAGAAAAAAACGTATACTTCTCCATATGGCAGTGGGCAGCAGTCAGGATCCACTCGTGGTTTATCAGGGACCCTCCACAGAAAAACCTCCCTCCCTCCAAGTTGCCTGTGAGGACAGAAACCATCCACGGCCATGCTCCCGGAGAGGCCGGATTTCCGTCTACGATCCTGAAGTCCATCCTGATGTCTGACAGGGTTCCTCCACATGCTAACATGACACACATGACAAAACACGTACATGACAAGTATATGAATCTGTAATCTCTCTAAATGGTATTAATCTGCACTGGAAATTGTCTCTAAAAACTGATATCAGTATCGAGTTGTACTTGTACTTGGTGCGTGTACTTGTTCTGCTGCCGACACCAAGAGCTGATACCACTGCACCATGTGTTTTGTGATTAAGCTGTGAGGTGTGAGCAGCAGGAGTTGAGTTGAGTCACCTGCACATTAAACTCTCTGACACACTAAACTGCTTAAATGACATGACAGTCATCTAAAGTATGACTAAACTAGGAACTCAACCTGGACCAGAACCAAACCATGACTAAACCAAGTCCATGACTGGGCTAAACCAGTTCCACGACCAGACTAAACTGATCTTAACCAAGTGTCAGCAGGAGTCTAAGTGTGTGATCCATTTATTACCTTGCCAGTGGCAGTCTGAAAGAGAAAGAATGACATAAATTCATTATTTATTAAAAACAAAACAAACAAACAAACAAACAAAAATGTTTTTTAACAGATAAAAGTAAAAACAAAAAACGGTCAAGATAAAACACTCATGTAAAATGTACTTTCACTATAAAGTAGACATACATACTTTAGTTTAAAACAAGATCAAATACATGATGTTTTGATATTAAAAAGTCTTTACCTTTTAGCAGGAAAATGACCAAAACTAAGACTAAACAGCGCTGATCCTGACCCATCGTGGCTCTGCTCTGTTCTGTACAAAAAAAATAAAAAAAAATATGTCATGTTAAAATCATGTTAAAAATCCCACCCACCCTGCACCTCCCTGGGGGATATCTGATATAACAAAGGCATATACTGTGTAGGTCTATGTATTGTCTGCTCAGGACACAGTGAACTGTGAACTGACACCATTTTTTTTATTTTTGAGAAAAACACTGAGAATAACAGTAAATAATGAGACGACCAGGAGGTTTATGGTGGAATCTAGGACATGAATAGGTGGCTAATCCACCTATCTCTAGAGTGATATTGCGTTTATTTAGTTAACTTTATAGATAAGATTTGACAGCCAGTATCATAACTGTGTACACAGAGGGGTACTCAATTATGGGTGACAGTAGCTCAGTTGGTTGAGGGGTCAGATCCACTGACCACAGGATCAGTGGATCGCTATTGTTGTGTCCTTAGGCAAGACACTTAACCCACCTTGCTCCCAGTGTCTGTGTACACTGGTGTATGAATGTGTGTGTAAATGGGTGAGTGGTTCCTTGATGTTAAGAGCTTTGAGTGCCTTCAAGGTGGAAAAGCTCCATATAAAAAGGTGACCATTAGAACCACAGTGTCACCAGAGAACTTGATGACATAGTTATTGGGCAGAAGACGCCTGCATTAATTGGTATGCAGTGTAAAAAGGAAAGGAGAGTGTATACTACCTTGAGGAACCCCATTGTTTCAATTCCAAAGAGGCCTTCACCTGTTGTTGTCTTGCATCCAACCATTTAATGATGAAAGAACTCACGTTCAATAAAGCTGTGGTACAGACACGTAAAATAATTTGTTATGACCTCTGTGGCCTCATGGAGAACCACATTATGGAAGATACTCGAGTCTGTGTTTACAAAGCACCATTCAAGATCTCAGTGCTGTCTTCAGAACATTACAGGTCTGTTTTGTGTTGAGGCCTGGTAGGGCTAAGCACAGACTTATAGGTGGCAACATGTACTATGGATATACATATAAGAAAGTACTGCCATTTATAAATGTTAAAATAGTGTTTGTTATTAACATCTGTAACAATTAACAATCTGTATTGAGTATCAAATCTATTCCTAAGTATTGTAATCAAGTTAGAATTTTACTATCATTTTACTACACTACTACTACAACAAACTACTACTACTACTAGTAGTAGTAGTAGTAGGAAGAATCAGACTTGACTTCAGATTTGGCTCTTGGCGAGGGTGGATACTTTTTGTCTCCTACCCCTTATCTTCCCTGCCTTGCTTCTTTCTCTCGTCTCGGCTAGTGTGTATTGTCTGATACTTTTGAGAGACACTCTCTGCTCTGCTCTTCTGAACCTAAATTAACTATGGATTTGGTAAGTTGGTCTCTCAACACAACTGACTTTTATTTTAAAGCGTATCAACTCCCTCAGAGATTACAGCTGGGAGATACTCTCCCCCGAATACCCAACCCCTTGCAGCTTTGCACCCCCGGCCTGGTGAGAGGGTCTGTTGTATCCAGCGGCCAGTGGCTGCGGATCTGGATGGCCGCCTGCCTACGTTGGGTTTACTTCACACCCCTTGTTTGCTAGTCCTGTGAAATGTTTGTCTTGTGTTTTGACTGTTCTGGGGCCTCATTTATAAAAAAAAACTGCGCAGGAGTTGTTGTAAGTTAGTGCGTACGCCTAGTAGCTACGACAGGCGTGCGCCACGCAAACTCCATATTTAGAAAACCCACCGCACGCACCAAACCACGCAATCTTTGCTTTAGAAATCCCACCTGCAACTACAATTTGCGCACGTAAACCCACGTCACGTCACGCCCTCTCCACACCTCCACCTCACCATAAAAGGAGCATGTAAAGTGACTCGTGAATGAGATTTCCCTAAACATGAGCCGATAATCAGTGGGTTTGACCGAGACACGCGGGACAGAGGGAGGAAGGACGCTCCACGCAGCACCACGTGATCACGACAAAGACTTTATTAAAGAATAAATACAAAACTAAAAGTGACAACAATGACTCATCTGTTCATTTAATCATATTTCGTAATATTTAGGCAGCACATCTTTGCAGTAAAGCCGGTGTGTTTTTTTTGCTGTTTCAAGAGTTTTATCGCTATATTTTAAAGTCTGTCTATGAAGTGTGTGAGGACTGGCCCTGTATATTTATGCATATACACATAGATACGTGCACGCGCTGATCTGAATGGGCAAATTATGAGCGCGTGCGAGAGATTCAGATGCCCTCCCCTGGAGAGGGAAAGGAGCGAGGGAGGGACACGAGGACACGAGGACACGAGGACACAGATTTAGTAAGAAACACATCAGATACAGATGTTATTCTGCCAATTAAAGTCCACACGAAACATCCAAACTGCTCACCTGTGAGTGTGGGTCTGGGTCTGTGAGTGTGGGTCTGGGTAGGGACGGGCACGGGCATTATTCTGTTCTTCATACGGTCAGAGAGCAGCTCTCATGTACAAGACTTCCCCATTACACAAAAATGTAGGGAAGATTTTGGTTGGGGTCAGGTTCGGGCAGTAGGCTTCGTGTTGTGCGCAGACTCGGGTCACTCTGGCGCTCGGTGCGTAAAGACTGAAGTAAAAGTGTTAAAGTTGCGTTCATTAAATCAAAGCCTGGCTCCTGCTGCGTCCAATGGAAGAGTTTTTCTCTCAGGTTGGGTCATTATGTCGTCCTCTGTGTTGGTCACAGTCTGTGTTCTATAGAAGTCTATGGTCGCGGTGTGGACTGTGGGACTCTGCGCTACACCGAGTCCGGGAACGTGGCCGCGCTCGTGCACGAGTTTCAAATGTATAATATTGTGGAGAATAATGAGTGGAATAAACAGCTCTTCTCCGTATTTTGGCGAACCAAACACTTAAATGCGCAAATCTGAATGTAATTCTTCTATATGGATTGTCTGATCAAACTCTTCCTCAAACTCTGTTCACTTCTGCTTCTCTCCACGAGTGTCGCTTTTTCCCCGTGTCTCCAGACTTTGCGTAGAACTTACAGGAGGTCCCGAGTTGGCGTAGAGTTAAGCAAAGAGGCGAGTTTTATAAATACCGCGGTTGGCGTAGGAAGCGCGCACGCACGGATTTTTGCGTAAGCAAGCTTTTATAAATGAGGCCCCAGGTGTCTACCCCATGTATTGTGTTGTATGTTTGTAATGTACAGATGGGGTGACAGTCCAATTTCGATTCCTTTTGTTGATTTTTATGTACATGTACATGTGAAAAAATGGACAAATAAAGGACATTCATTCATTCTTTCAATACATTTATTTCTTGGGGAAATTCTTTTTGTAAATAGGCATGCATCAAAAACAGACATTCATTTCAGACTTCAGATTTCAGAATAAGAAATAGATTTTGGATTATTAAAATAAAAGTAATAAAAACAAAAATCAACAGTTGCATGAAGTAAAAGTATAAGAGCACTCAATGAAAATACAATTCAAATGCATAGTCGTCGTCGTAGTAGTAGTAGCCACAGGTGTAGCAGTACTAGTTGTAGTTGCTGTCTAGAGCTGTAGTAGCAATAATTGGGGCAATGAAATAATAGTAGTGGTGGTTAGTATTATAGGAGTGGTACTTCATTATCTGTAAGTAATAGTAGTAGTAGTTGGCAGTGACATAGTAGGTGCAGAATGTAGAAATAATAGTAGAAGTTGCTGTTTTGTAGCAGTAGAAGTAGTAATAGTAGTAGTACTAGTATAACTGATGCTGTAGCTTGGGGCATCACAGAACCAGTACTCGCAGCTGTGACCCTCTAATGCAGTAGTAGTTAGTATTGTAGTAGTAGTTCATTATCCTTGCAATAATAGTTGTAGTAGTCCGCGCTGACGAAGTAAGTAGAGACAGTAATGAAACAGTGAAACCGCTTCACGGTTTTCTTGGTAGTGCCATGCTTGTTTAAAACATTCTCGTAGTAGGTACAATGGTGAAATAGTAGTTGATGTAGTAGTTGACGTAGTAGTAGTAGTTGGTCTAGTATTAGTAGTAGTAGCAGTAGTAGTAGAAGTAGTTGCCGATGTAGTTGTTGTTGGTCTAGTAGTAATAGTAGAAGTAGTAGTTGGGATTGTTGTAATAGTAGTCAGTGAAATAGTTGTTGGAATACTTGTAGTAGCAGGTGAAGTAGTAGTAATTGTGGTAATAGTAGTGGGTTTATTAATAATAGCAGTAGTCCATGTAGTAGCAGTAGTAGTTGCGGTAATAACTGGTTTAGTAATAAAAGTAGGTTTAGCAGTAACAACTGGTTTAGTAATAGTAGTAAAAGTAGTAGTAGTAGTATTTGGTATAGTTGTAGGTGTAGTAGTTGGTACGGTAGTAGTAGTAGATGTAGTAGTAATTGCAGTAGTAGCTGGTTTAGTAGAAGTAGTAGTAGCAGCAGCAGTAGCAGTAGCAGCAGCAGCAGTAGTAGTAGTAGTAGTAGTAGTAGTAGTATTCCTGCAGTAGTAGCTAATGTCACTGCTGTCTCCTGTTGACATAAACAATACAAATCCCGGGGGGTCCTCTGTTCCCACCATGGTCTGAATCCAATCATGGAACTTGGAAACATCCGTCAGAATTCCGGGTTTTCTGGGTCGAGCACATCCAGCAGAGGCGCTCACGATGCCAGCCTGCACCCAAACACTGCCCTGCTTCACCAGCATGGGACCCCCAGAATCACCCTGTCAGGAGAGAGAGGGAGAGACACGCATTGGTCAGACTTAAAGTATGTTTGTGATGAGGAAACAACATTATAACATAGATCAGAAAATGGTGTAATATGGGCCTTTTAAATTAAAAATTGAAAGTGACGGGGGGGACTCACCTGACAGGTGCCCTTCCCTCCCTCTTCATATCCAGCACACAGGATGTTGTCGTACAGGAGAAGAGTGACCCCATAGTCTTTGCTACAGACCGCCAGCTCCACCACAGGCACACACACCTCCTGGAGGGAGTCAAGAACAGCGCCACCTGGTGCAAAACAACAGAATTTGTCAAAAATATCACCATTTTCTTAGAGCCACTTTGGACAAAACAAACAAAGTCCTGGAGTCACTTTTTTGCCGCTAACAAAAAAAATCCACAACCATCCTTAGTGACTTCCACCCCGTAGCACTTAACTCAGTGATCACCAAGTGCTGATCCCCCCCCACTCCTCTACTCGCTCTACACTCATCACTGCAGTCCCAACCACCCAGAGAACATCATTGTCCAATCTTCTGGTGACATGACGGTGGTGGGGGTGATAACAGAGGGGAATGAAGCGCCCTACAGAGATGAGGTCCTGAAACTCAGCGAGTGGTGTGCAACTAACAACTTGGCACTGAACATCACCAAGACTGAGGAACTCATCCTGGACTTTCAGCGGAACAGAGCCACCCCTGCCCCCCTGTACATCAATGGCCAAAGTGTGGAGCGAGTCAAGTCCTTCAAATTCCTTGGGGGTTCACATCTCTGAGGATCTCTCCTGGTCAGTCAACACCTCAGCACTGGTCAAAAAGGCCCAGCAGTGGCTACACTTCCCAAGGGTGCTCAAGAAGAAGCAACTAAACACAAGCCTGCTGGTGACCTTCTATCATTCCAAAATTGAGAGCCTGCTGACCTCTGCTGTGACAGTGTGGCACTTTAGCTGCACAGAGGCTGACAGGAAGCATCTGCAGAGGGTCACCAACACTGCACAGGACATTACTGGCTGCCCTCTGCCTTCCTTAAGAGCATTATACAACTCCTGGTGTGTCAGCAGAGCGAGGAAAATAATTAAAGACAATACACACCCTGGATTCCACCTGTTCAACCTGTTGCCTTCTGGCAGGTGCTTCAGATCAATTCCAGCTAGGACCAACAGCCTCAGGGATAGCTTCTTCCCCAAAGCTGTCACCATACTTAATGAGAACTGTTAATTTGTTTTTATTTGTTGATTCTTGCACTTTGATGGAACAGCTCTGACGTTCATTATAATATTGTATAATGACAATAAAGGCTTTCTATTCTATTTCTATTCTATTCTAAATTGAACTCCAACCTAAGCTGAGCAGCACAGAGCGTAATGATGCCAGTTAGAATGAAAAGCAATACCCAATACAAAACTGTACACAGCAACTTGCAAGCCGATTATGTTGTGATAGCACTCTGAAGGGGGAGTGACTTAATGTGAGGAGCAAAGGGAGGGGAGTCACAGACCATCAATAATGAAAGTGAAACTTATAAAACATGTCAATACTGTATGTTGTTCTCATCGAGTCTGAATATAGCATTTTCAGTAGAAGGTAACATGATGATCTAAGTGTTACAAAATACAGAAGTAAAATACTCCATCTTTAAATGCTTTAATACCTCCCTCCTCCAGGCGGCCCCATCCGGCCACCCAGGTGCTCTGTCCGTGGTCGAAGTAGCTGTTAGTGTGAGCCAAGCACACGGGCTGGATGAAGCGCGTGTATGTGACCGGAGAGGACAGTCTCAAGAGGGCGATGTCGCTCCCTGTGTCATTGTAGTCTGGATGCAGTTCCACCTGGACCACACCCCTCTGCACAGGTGAGTCACTGAGGGAGCTGAAGCCCAGAGAGACCTGGGTCAGGTCCATCACTCTAGAACAGAGGGGAGGGGCTTAATGCTCTACTTGGTTTTTACCTTCCAATCAGATTTGTGAAAAAAAGCATGTACTTGTCCTTAAGGCAGTGGGCAGCAGTCAGGACCCACTCATGGTTTATCAGGGACCCTCCACAGAGAACCCTCTGTCCCTTTGAATTGGTCGTGAGGAGATGAATCTGCCAGGGCCAGTGTCCCGGAGATGCTGAAGCTCCACCCACGATCTTGGGGTTTAACAGAGCTCTACCACACGCTAACATGACACACATGACAAAATACATGACAAAACACATACATGACATACATAGTGCTTTGTCTAGAAAAGGCAACCTTAAATAACCAAAGAGCTGTTTGGACCATCTCCCACAGAAAAGACCTGGAGCCACAAAACCCTTTTTGGATTTATCTATCATTTACCCACCAGGGGTCGAAAAGCTCAATAAATGATGCTGCTGGTGCAGGTGCCGGTAAGTCCGGGCTGCCAGATATGTGCCAGGTGTGGCACACCACGCCTTTTGAGCAACAAAAATAGTTTATTTTAATGTTACAAGACTAGCATTATCTACACATTATCTACATCTATTAATAATAATAATAAATAATATAATCTACATCTATTATCTACATCTATTAATATCAATATCAATATTAATATTAATATTTATTTATTCATTCATTATTTATTTTTCAAAGTCACAGGGAGCCACAAGAGAAGTATGAAAGAGTTACGTGTGGCTCTGGAGCCGTGGGTTGCCAACCCCTGGTCTAGAATTTTCCTCAGTGTTGATTAATCTAGATAGATCTGTATAATTGTATCTATCGCAAGGAAGACAAACAGGCTACACAAATAACCTCTGTTCACTGAAAGAATGACTGTGTTTTTTGAGCAATAGAAATGTCCATAATGAATAAATACTAGATGTATAATTTGTTTGCCGTACCATGCAACATCTCCATGGAGACATGGAAATACCCTAAATAAGATTGCGGACCCTGTACATTTCACTTTTTAAAGTGCATATGGGTACTTTTTGACTAATAGGAAGTATTATTTAGGTAATTAAATCTTACCTAAGTTAGTAAGTAGGTTTTGTACACAATGGTTATGATTAGACTAATAAAAACAAATGATAAACACATTTATTTTGTTATTCCTTGTGAATAAATTGGATGGAGTTTTCCATGGTGATGACACAGGTAAAAGGATTCTGTTTTTAGAACTCAGCGCTACTTCCTGTATTTTTGTATTTTTCTACTTTTTTTTTTCCACAAACTGACACTTAACTGATGTAAAACTATGATAAATATTGACCACGGGTATTATCCCACCAAACCAAGCCAGAACTAGAAAAAGCTCTTGTATGTGTCAATTACCTTGTGAATGGCAGTCTGAAACAAAAAGAATAAGATATTTATTATTTATTTAAAAGAGACATGTTTTTAACAGAAAAAATATAAAGAGAAAAAACAGCAAACAAATAAAAAACTTTCACTATATAGTAAGCCTATGTACTTCTGTTCATAACTAAAAGAAATACTTGAGGTTTTAATAATAATAATAATAATAAAAAGTATTTACCTTTTAGCATGAAAATGACCAAAACTAAGACTAAACAGCTCTGGTCCATTGTAGCTCTGCTCTGTTTTACACAGATTAAAAAATAATGTGATCTTAAAACCATGATAAAAACCACCCACCCTGCACCTCCCTGAGGTTTATCTGATATAACACAGGTATTGTGTTATTCTTTGCTCAGGACACAGCGAAATCTAACACCAATAATTCTAAGAAAAACAGTAACAGTAACAATAAGATGACATTTGAGTCAAGTCTGTCACTTAAACTTGAACCTGTTGCACTTCAGTTTACTTCAGAACCTTCTTTTGTTTTTTATTTCATGTAGATTTCAAACACATTTTATCTGACACAATATATAATCAGCAAACATGGCTGCTTAAACATAAAAAAGGAGAAAAATCAACAAAAAAGACTGAGAAACAGAGCATATTTTTCACAGAATCAACAACTGAAGCACCAAACTATAACTTATTTCAGGTAAAAGAAGTTATATATTTAGTTTTGAATGTTTCAGAGACACGCGATGCAAATTAGTGTGTAGCTGTGGTTGGATCATCTCAAGTTTGGACAGAGGTTTTTCCTGCTCTATGGTCCAGTTACAGACCCTTGTGGATTCGAACAGAATGTAGAAGGGTCTGGCTGGTCAGGCGAGGGACATGGATGGTCAGTAAAACTCTTAATCTGGGGTGAAAAATGCAAGTTTGTTTTAAATGATAGGTGACCAATGAGCTTCTTTCGTTTCACGTGTCACTCAATAAACAAATCTGATTGGACGTTTGGTTCTGGCTCAAGGTGTGGTCCTGGAGTGGGGACCTCACAGGCATCTCCGTGTATAAAACATACAGAGAGATCATTCTAAGTATTAATGCAGGACTAATCAGGCTCTGTGCTTTTTATACAGTGTGTTTTGTAGAGTTTAACTTGTGATTATCTGTTTTTCCTGAGTTTGTTGTTTAATTAAAATAATCAAATAAAGAAAGTTAAATCTCTGTCACATCTGGCCAGACTTTATGTGGCCTCTCTGTATTTCGATGATTACTATGTTTGTTGCTGTTTATGTACAAAAGTGGAGCTTAAAGGTGCCCTATGTAACTTTTTGGTTGAGGGTCCGTCACCTACTTGTCATTGCTGTGCCTGGAATGTTTTTAAATTACAGGTAGTTTTATAGCTGAAAAATATTTAGAAAAACAGGCATTCTAACTGTGAGCGGGGTTGCCTGTCCACAGATCTGACCTGTAACTTGACCTGGTTTGGTCTCCATGAAGATAGAAAGGTTTAGTACCATACTGTGAAACATCCCAGACCAAACAATAACAACAAGATCTCCATGCAGAAAAGCATTTCACAGATCCTCCACCAGAAAAGTTACACAGTGCACTTTTAAATGAGCCATTACAATGTTAGCACAGTTATTTACAATGTTATTCTGACACACAACACAATAGTCAACAGTGTAAAGAGTGGACTGCAGAGCACCTGGGGTCCACTGTCCAGCACAGACCCATAATAATAATCATCTATGTTCTTGTATTCGCAGACATATTCCTCATCGGAGTCGTCATCCGGGGGGTCAAAGAGCACAAAGCCGGGCGCGCTGGAGGTGCCCACCACCTGGCTGATCCATTCTTGGTATGCGGGCACCAGGGCATAGACCCCCGGGCGCTCTGGGCGGGCACAGCCTTCACCGAAGCTCACCACGCCCACCTGTACCCAGATCGAGTTCATCCGGACCACCTGAGGACCTCCTGAGTCACCCTGAGAGAGTGACGGAGGGATGGAGAACGAGAGAGAAAAAAAGAGAGATGCTTGAGTAATCTTTTATTATTAGTCTACATCTCCAAAGCTCAGAATGCTCTTTTCCACATTGTGATGTCATGAAGTGGTCATTTTCAAGTTACCTTTTGTTCAGTTGCATATTAAGTGACTCAAACACTGACATTTTAGGACTATCAGAAACTTGGCTCACCAGCTCATCTCCTGACTCTGGTGTTGTCTTCTCAAATTACAAGGTGTTTAGAAAGGACAGAATCGGGGAAAGGAGGGGTGTGTTGCTGAATGTAAAAAAAACTCGGAATGCTCTCAACTCAGTGTACCTAACGAGGTCGAAATAGTGAATGTCTCAGTGAAAGTCTCTCTCTCTCTTTCTAGACATGACTTTCACTTTGATTTGTCTGTATCGTCCTCCTTCAGCAAGAATTAATTTCTATGAACAATTGCAGGCATTACTTAAGCACCATGCTATACAAAACAAGTCCAATAAAATAATTGTGACTGGTGATTTCAGTGTGAACTGGGACTGTAAAAGGACAGAGAAACGCTAAAACATATTATGGACACTGTCAATTTTTCTGTACTTATTGAGCAGCCTGCAAGAATCACAACACATTCAAAAACTAAAATAGACTTGCTCTTTAGTCCAGAATGTATTATCTGTCCAAGTTGGGAATCTGTGGAATAGTCCACTAACACTGAGAGAATGCCCTATGTACAGCTCTTTTAGAGCTCAAATTAAAAATAGGTTATGGTCAAACCAAACATTTTAATTGATCTTCTATGGACACACATTTGCACGTATTGAATGTGTGGCCAAATTGACTGCAAAATAATAGGAATTGTGCAATGACTGGACTGTGCAATATTTTGAACTGTGCAATGAATGGAGTGTGCAATATTTTATTGTTTGGCCTCCTGTGACCCCAGCCCTTTGGGACAACGAATGGATAAGATAAGATAAGATAATCCTTTATTGTCTCCCATGGGAGAAATTTGTCTTGGGACAGGGGGTAACATGTTTTATCAAAAAACAGGACAACACAACACAAACACACACACACAAACACACAAATTAATCATAGGCTATAATCTATGTACAATCTTTGTACAATACAATCAATCTGTGTGTTTACACTCATGTTGTGTCATGTTTGTCCATTAACATACTCTCTCCCAATCAAATAAATAAATAAATGCTATTGGCAATTCCAGGTCTGAAATGATCCCAATGAAAGTGTATGGAGTTTAAAAACACAGTGGAGCGCTTCCTGTATTACCACATGATATCACAAGGTGGAACAGAGTGTTTTCTGTGTAAGAGAAGAACTCAGTCTAAATATGCAGGATTTGTGTGTGAAATATGTGTGAATGAAACAAAACACAACTCCAGGTCTGTTTGTGATGAGTAAACAACATTATAACTAGTGCTGTCATGCGATTAAAAAAATTGAGAGATTAATTAATTATGATCTGTAATTAATTAATCTAATTAATCAAATTTTAATCTCACCTAAAAATTGCTGAGAAAAGCCTTCAATTTGAGGTATTTTCATTTAAATTCATTATTACATTATTGTGGCAGATCAAAAGACTGATATAGAACAAAAAAAAGTGACTTTATAAAGTCATTTATTGTTTAACAAATCTCCGCAAATTGGCTGTTGAGCCCAAGTCTCCATGAATAAGAAACTGTTTGTTGTAAAGTAGCAAAGACGAGGAAATCTGAACATAATAACTTTTGTCTACTTAAAGACAATAAAAAGTCCAGTCTTTCCTTAACCATATTAAAAATATTATTGATAGAGAAATGCTTTATATATGAGATCACTGGTTTTAGTCCTTGTTTTAGTCCTGGTTTAGACCTGCTTTAGTCCTAGATTAGTCCTGGAATGGATTAATCCTGGTTTTAGTCCTGGTGTTATTTCTGGTTTAGTGCTGGTTTAGACCTGGTTTAGTCCTGGTTTAGACCTGGTTTTAGTTCTGGTTTAGTCCTGGTTTAGTCCTGGACTGGATTAGTCCTGGTTTTAGTCTTGGTGTTAGTTCTGGTTTAGAGGCGCACAGGAGGAAGCGCGGGTTTACGCCGCGTACGCGAGAAAACACGGTTCACACGAGGCTCACGGGAGCACGTCGGTGTCCACGCAGTGTCTACGGAAGGAAACGTGGTCCGCGCGTTCTCAGGTTAATGACGATGATGAAGGTGTGTGTTTGTTTGTGTTTGTGTTGTTTTGTGTGTGTGTGTCCCCTCATGTGGCAGGTCACTATAGGACAGTAGTGCAGACATCATGAGTCTATGCAGGTTGTTTTCACCAGTGACATTTAATTTGTAGGCGATTTTATATTTGTTATTTTCTTTTATATTTCACGTCAGGAGAATAATTTCCAAGACACGAATGTGTTTTTACCTGTGCACTGCTGCCTCTGTTCTACTGGCTCTACGACCTCGTCCATTGTGCGACTGACGCCGCAAACATTAATATAACGTTTACATCGCTCTTACTGCGCGCGTTTTGTGTGGGTTTCCGACAATGAGTGGAATTACCGAAATAAAAAAATTTATAAATGTGTTTTTTGTGTGTGTGTGTGTGTGTGTATGTTGTCCCAACAACACATAAAGACAGGTTTTATAATAAAGCAACTCGCATACATAAACAGTAAAGTTAGAGATTAAAAATGAGATTAACGCGATTAAAAAACATAACGCGCTAAATATGACTGTAATTAATTAATCGCAATTAACGCGATAATTTGACACCCCTAATTATAACAGAGATCAGAAAATAGCGTAATATAAGAACTTTATGGAAACTATTTGATTCGATTTCCTGTGTGATTCTAGACTCACAAAACAAGAGTCCACTCCTCCCTCTCTGCGTCCAGCACAGATGGTCTTCTCTGGGACATACACTTCGTTCAGGCACCTGCACTCGTTCAACCCCACGATGGGAAGCTCCACCTCCTGCAGCGAGTCAGGAGAGTATCCACCTTCACACACAGACAATACAGAGATCAGAGTCCAGTGTCTCTCTCTTCACCTTCACACACAGACAATACAGAGATCAGAGTCCAGTGTCTCTCTCTTCACCTTCACATAGAGACAATACAGAGATCAGAGTCCAGTGTCTCTCTCTTCACCTTCACATAGAGACAATACAGAGATCAGAGTCCAGTGTCTCTCTCTTCACCTTCACATAGAGACAATACAGAGATCAGAGCCCAGTGTCTCTCTCTTCACCTTCACATAGAGACAATACAGAGATCAGAGTCCAGTGTCTCTCTCTTCACCTTCACATAGAGACAATACAGAGATCAGAGCCCAGTGTCTCTCTCTTCACCTTCACACACAGAGACAATACAGAGATCAGAGCCCAGTGTCTCTCTCTTCACCTTCACATAGAGACAATACAGAGATCAGAGCCCAGTGTCTCTCTCTTCACCTTCACATAGAGACAATACAGAGATCAGAGTCCAGTGTCTCTCTCTTCACCTTCACATAGAGACAATACAGAGATCAGAGTCCAGTGTCTCTCTCTTCACCTTCACATACAGAGACAATACAGAGATCAGAGTCCAGTGTCTCTCTCTTCACCTTCACACAGAGACAATACAGAGATCACTGTCCACCTGCAGTTCCAGAAGTAAATTTCTCATTCATTTACTTTACTGTTTGAAAGCTTGCTCAGGGCTTTTTCAGCTATGAGATAACTAATGGCCGCAAGAAATTATATGACACCCGTTTCTGAAACTTTAAAGTTTTTAAAGCATTTTGCCAAACACTGCTCTTTAAATGTGCCTTTTGGACTTGAAACAGCCACATTGTTGATATTAGTTAGCACGAAGCTGGCCAGCCTCCATGATGCCTTTCAATCCAATTCTGTCAACTGGACATGTGTTTTTTAGGAACTGAAGAAGCTGATTGGATGAACCCACACACACACACACACACACACACACACACACACACACACACACACAAACACACACACACACAAAAACTTCTGTCCAGTTGACAGAATCAAATATTTCTTTTGCTATTCCTGGTATAGCAATGACATCTGAAAATGAAATGACTTTATGACTAACTGTGTAAAAATGTGGACTAAGGGAGTGTGACATCACCATAGCATTCGGCTCCAGTCAAATGAAGCTCACTGAGGTTGGCAGTAAATAGGAACGAATTTGGAGCCAGTTGCATATTAGGAATAGGAATTTATTTCTGTTCAAAATAGCCAAATAAAAATCCCAGGATCATGTAGAGTGAGTTAAGACAAACGTTTTAACACCAAAATGAGGAGGCTGAGTGCAGCAGTTACAGAGAGAGGGGCGGGCAATTTTTCTATGTAAAATCAGTTGGAGCCACAAGCGTCCCCATGATCACTTCCTATTTGGACAGCAGTGGCTAGCAAGTTAGCTATGTCCATTTATATTTAAACTATGCTGTACACTGCAAAAAGTAATAACTAAGTAAATTCTAATATCTCCAATTAAGAAGATGTAACTTTATTTGACTAGACTCGACAAGTAAAATGATCTACCAATGGAAAAAGTCTTGTTCATGTTGTTAAAGGTGCATCATGCAGCTTTTTTGGTGGAGGGTCCATCATATGATTTTCTCCATGGAGATGCTAGTGCTTTGTCTGGAAAGTTTCACAGTACGATATTAAACCTTCCTATCACCATGGAGACCAAACCAGACCACATCTCAGCTCAGATCTGTGGAGAGGCAACCTCACTCACTCATTCCTGTTTTTTTTTTTTTTTAGGTATTTTTGAGCTATAAAACCACCTGTAATTGAATAAATATAAGTTAAAACTATGTAATCTCATACTGTGGAACATTCCAGACAGAGAAATGGCATATCCATAGAAACAACAAGATGACAGAACCCCAAACAAAAAGTTACACAGTACACCTTTAATTCAAGTCATTTTAACTTGGCAAGATTTAGTTTTTGTAGTGTATAATAATGTGTATGTTTGTACTCACTCTCGTTCAGCGCTCCCCAGCCTGCGACCCAGGAGGGGAAACCTGAGGGGAAGCGGCTGCCGTGGGCGCCCAGGCACAGGGGCTGGATGTGGGGTTTGAAGATCACTGGAGCAGAGAGATGCAGCAGACACATGTCGTGCTCACCCTTCCCGGTGAGGTTATACAGTGGGTGACACTCTATCCTTGTCCACCTCCCTGGTTTCTTCTGCCAACGGGTTCTCCTCTGAGTGGTGCCCCAAATACACAACTGTGATGTTTTCTGTGCTTAGAAACAGGAGAAGAATGGAGCCATTAGACCAGAGCCATCAGAGACACACGCAAAAGCATCTGAGAACTATTAAACTATGCTCCTCTCACTTCCTGTGGAGTCCAGAGAGCTGAAGATCTCACTCTGTTATGAAACAATAGCTCTAGACTCTTCCAAGTTTCTGTTTTTAGTTTGTTAGTTTTTGAGTGAAACTGTGAAACAATAGTCAAGCCAGTGACACTGCCAGAGCACACATTGAAGTTTCATACTGTTTTTTCACAGCTAAGCAAAGGAATGTGAAATCTAGTCATAATGCTTCGCTCAGGCTGTACCCAGTTCAGCTGCAGCTCCATGTGGGTGTGGGCTTATGTCACACTCACTCCAGGACCAGACTCTGCTGTGCTGGCTGCACATGTGAGACTGTGTGACCACGTGTTCCTGCGATAACTATTTATTTATTAATGGAAAAGGACTGCGGTCTCTCCGGTGTCTGGAAAAAATAGAATCCAACTGAACTGATCTGGAGCCGCACCAGATCCAGCACCTCCACCGGCACCTCCACCGGCACCAGCTCCCAACACTCACCAGATTCATACCTTCACACCCCCTCTCCCTGTGTGTCTCACTCACCCGGGGGGATCATGCAGTGTGCGGCAGTCAGGACCCACTCTTCACTGATCAGAGACCCTCCACAGAAGTGCTGGTGATATTTGTTACTGGAGCTCAGACTGATGATCCAGGGCCAGGACCCGGGAGAGGCCTCGGCCCCGCCCACGATCCGGGGACGCAGTTCCGCCTGTCCACACGCTGACAAAACGCAACACACACAACACACAACGCACAACGCACGTGCCTCAGTTTTTTTTCCTACTTTATATGCAAGATATATATGTTTAATGCCAGACTGTGGAATATTTCAAACAAGCAGAAGATAAATCCTCCACCACAAAAGGGGCTTATAAGGTAGACTACTTATTTGTCCCTGTAGTTAACATGCCCTCTGTATTTGACCCATTCTTCAGTGTCTCTGGATTAAACCTGCATTTGACCCTTTGTTCAGTGTCCGGTGGTTAAACCTGCATTTGACCCATCCTTTAGGGTCTCTGGGTTAAGTCTGCATTTTATCAATTCTTCAGTGTCTCTGGATTAAACCAGCATGTCACCCCTTTTTTTAGTGTCTCTGGTTTAAACCTGCATTTGCCCCATTTTTCAGTGTCTCTGGGTTAAGTCTGCATTTTATCAATTCTTCAGTGCCTCTGGGTTAAATCTGCATTAGACCCATTTTTTGATGTCTCTGGGTTAAACCTGTCAGGAGCACTGGGACTCATCTCCAGATCTGAGACAGGTTTGGGCTGGAAAACCTTAGCTAGACAATCATAGAATCATGTTTGAGGAAAACATGCAAAGTCCACACAGAAAGCACAATGCTCACTAATAATCAAGTACAGTAGTTTAGGAATAAAGTGTGACCAATATGAACACACTTGAATCATTTCTATAGTTTTAGCATTTTCAACATTAAAAAAAAAAACTTCCCTAACTTCCCTCACTCCCACAAAAAAAAAGTACAGTAAAAAACAAATTAAATAAAAATTAAAGCCGCGCGCGGCGATGGTGGCCCTCGCCCCGGGCACGCACCGCCCCCCCGGCGAACGCCGGGGACTCGCGACCGCCCCGGCACACCGCTCTCTCTTCCCGACAGCTCCTGAGGCCAACAGCTCGTCCACCAGAAAAATGACATAGTGTACCTTTAAAATTGGATAAAGTGAATGATTCTAGAGACAAACTGTAGACACTAAGCCACAGGTCACGTGACTTTAATGGTCAAGAGCACTGTCACACAAGTGCATGAAAACACATCCTCCACCAGAAAATTTACATAGTGTGCCTTTAAATTTCTCAGAAGTGAAATTATTCTAGAGGCCAAAGTGTAAAACTAGGGCATAGGTCTTACTGACTTTTATGATGAGGAGTACGTCAGTGAATGTTTTGGCAAAGTTTTACAAATGAACGTAAAACTAATTTTATGTCACACAATAGTAAATTGTGTGCATTCATATAGGTGGCGCTGTATCCCTGATAACTGTATTTGACATATCAATGGAATAAGGGTCATGCAGTGTATAACTGATAGAAATGTCATCACAATCGGACAAAACATGTGCATATAATAATTTTTACAATATTTTTTGGAGGATTCTCTGTGCCCCTGCTGGCCAACCGTGAAAAATACACCATGACTGTAATAGACATTTTTGCTTATAATCATGCATAGAATTTAAAGGTTGTATGGAGGATTTTTTTTTTTGTTTCAAGTTGTCAATGATAGCATTATAGAGATGCAGTAGCCTTGTAATTATGATGACCAAGAAAAAGAGAATAAAAATTCATCAACTCTGGACGTGGTGGGGCTAAATATTTGCCAATAGATAATGACACTGCCTCGTTATCTGTTAGCTGACAGGCTGTCAATCAAACTCCCTACGTTTCTAGCATAACTGACTTGCCTGCGCGCCGCCGGTACGTGGTTTACGTACGCCTGTCACGCAGTCCACAGACGCAAGCCGCACAGACGCTGTTTACTCCACCAACGCAACAGTTCTTAGCAGCTTTTTTTGACCTATATCTTCCTCGCAGTTCGCACAAAGTTTGTTGCAATGGCAGACAAGAATCCAGGAGCAGTTCGCCACAAAAGAAAGTCCGTTTTTGAGGTCGCTGAAAGAAGAAGACAAGGGGAAAAGCAGCGAAGCCAAACTAAGGTGATTCTTGAAGATTCATTCCAGCGATGGCGCAACTGAAGCAGACGCAGGGTCTAAAGACTGACGCACTGGTCCACAAATTACTCCTGGACAGGAAACTTCTGCTTATTATGAAAACGTACTTTATTTCCAAGAGCTAGTCAAACGTTTTTCAGGACACGAAAGCGATATCCTATGTCTGAAAACGTAATTTTCAAGGCAAAGAAAGAGTCCGCTTGCTGCTGCGTGTTGTAGCTTGTTCATTCGCACGGAATCTCCGCGCAACCTTCTCTGCACCCCTTTCCTGCTCCTGTCCCCGCTGCCCGATCCGCTCTTCCCCCTGCTCCTCACTTCTCCGGGACTCTCTCTCCTCTCTCCCTCTCCGCTCTTCTCCCTGCTCCTCACTTCTCCGGGCACGGAATCTCCGCGCACCGCTCCCCTCTCCTCTCTCCTCTCTCCTCTCCCTGCTCCTCACTTCTCGTCCGCGAACGAAATGTCCGCACACCCGCTCCCCCCGCTCCTCACTTCTCCGCCTTGCCTAACCAACACTGTAGTTAGTTGTTTACAAGTCATGTGCAGTTCACCGGCTGTAAACAAACCTGTTTCTGGTGTAAGGAGGAGGCGGGAGAAGGCGTTTCTACGTAGGGAGCTGTAGGGGAGGGGGGGTGGTTTCACGCATGCGCAACATTTGAAAAAGGACAAACAGTCGCTGGATTTCTCGTTCCTTGGAAAATCCTCTATACAACATTTAAGGAGTATTCCAAAAAAAATTGGCAACTTCTGTGAGTTTATGTCTGTAGATGTGACATGTCAAATCTGAGCTCATTTGGACCAAACCCCGGGGACTTGAATCTTTTTGTAGACACCTAAGTCAAACGGCGGCGAATGTTTGATCCAATATGGCCAACTTCCTGTTCGTCATAGGGTCATGCTCCAATTCATCTTTTGGTTTGTCTCATTGTTCTCTATCACTGTCCCGAATTTCGTTTCCCTGCAACAAACTTTGCCTGTCCCCACTCCCATAGGGGTCCAATTCTAGGTGGCGCTGTTGAGTCGGGTCACTCGGGTCATTGTTGCGATGCCCATTTTATCAAATTTTTCGCCAAACCGATCGATCTGAACCCCAGTTTGGGGACTTTTCTTCCATGTTCAGGGGGTCAAAAATGCGATCGTTTGGTCATGTGCATATAATAATTTTTACAATATTTTTTGGAGGATTCTCTGTGCCCCTGCTGGCCAACCGTGAAAAATACACCATGACTGTAATAGACATTTTTGCTTATAATCATGCAAAGAATTTATTCCCCGACTTTGGTCCAAGTCCGATAATGTTGACATTTCATGTCTAAGGTAGGGGGCGCTATACTGTTCACTTTTCATATGTTTTATAGTTTATTATATTCAGACCAATATCCCGCATTAGTGATTCAAATTTCAGCACAATCGAACTAAGCATGTCCCTGTAATAATTTTAAAAATATTTTTGGGGGGATTCTTTGCGCCCCTACTGGCAAACCATGAAAAATGCATCATGTCTGTAGTAGACTTTTTTGCTTGCATTCATAGAATTTAATTCCCAAATTGGGTACAAATCCGATAATGTAGAAATTTCATGTCTATGCTAGGGGGCGCTATAGAGTTCATTTTTCATATGTTTTATAGTGTATTATATTCAGGCCATGATCAGGCATTAGTGATTCAAATTTCAGCACGATCGGACTAAGCCTGTGTGTGTAATTATTTTTTAACTATTTTTTGGGGGAGTCTTTGCGCCCCTGCTGGCCAATGGTGGAAAATGCATCATGTCCGTAATGAACTTTTTTGCTTGTAATCAAGCATAGAATTTATGCCCCGAATTTGGTACAAATCCGATAATGTTGACATTTCATGTCTAAGGTAGGGGGCGCTATAGAGTTCACTTTTATTAAATTTCATATTTCATCACATTCAGGCCTGGATCAAGCAATTGTGATTTGAATTTGAGTTCTCTAGGACAATGCCTGTGGCCGTGACAGGTCACCGAAAAAACAGGAAATGAAGGCGTTTTTCGGCGGCGTGCTACGGGCGAACCGTAAGGAGTATCCCAAAAAAATTTGGGAACTTCTGTGAGTTCATGTCTGTAGATGTGACATGTCAAATTTGAGTTCATTTGGACCAAACCCCGGGGACTTGAATCTTTTTGTAGACCCCCAAGTCAAAACGGCGGCGAATGTTTGATCCAATATAGCCGACTTCCTGTTCGTCATAGGGTCATGCTCCAA